ATAACAATTATTGAAAGCCTCAATAAATGACAGGAATGAGTCCCTAGATTAAACTCATAAATATAAAAAAAGATAAGATAACCATGCGTTATATCTGTCTTTGCGCGCAGGCTAAGGAAAGAAGTTCATGAAATATTAAAAGATAATACGAACTGTAAAAAAGTATGAAAATCAATATATACATTTTCTAAGTGAAATCAACCCCAGGCCTGAGTTATGCAATAATAAAGGACAAGTTTGCCTTCTGAACTGAAGCAGTCATAGAGGACACCTATTTCAGTGTCTAAAGAAGGAGCAAACGTTTGGTTGACATAAAGAAAGAGAGATTCATTTGAGGGGCATGATATACATTTTCTGATAAAGGTAGCCACACAGCTGACTTTCTGATTTCTTCCAACTGACCATTTCTGTTTTGTGATTACAGGAGCGTTACCGGCAGCCTTCAGAAGGATGTCAACCTTAGACGAAGGGGGAATTTCAAAGAAAGCGTGTGGATTATCAGACTTATCCATAAAAAATGACAGGCTCGCTTGTGTGGGTAGGAGATTGACTTAGTGATAAATTGTGAGAACTGGATTTTATATTAAGCGCGTAATAATAAACAAAATAATAGTTAGGTTAAGCCTTCTCTTGTATTAATTTAAATTTTTAAGTTATTAACGCATGAATATTAACTTTATGTTTAATTTTTTAAAGCAATTACATAGGTTTTTAATTTAATTAATTAGGCGAATCGTGACTGTGTTCTATTGATCCTACGATTTTTCCGTAATCTAGGAGTATATGCTTGCATTTAACTTCATCAGCCTGGTTGCTATTTGTGACTTCTCATCAATGAACCTGGAATCTTAAAGTCTTTTTTTTCACTTAATTCCATCCGATTTTTTTTATTGATTACGTTTGACTTTAACTGCACTTTATAATATTTCTGTGCTCATATGCATAGTTATGGTCTGTATTCCCTAAGCGCTCGTTTAGAAATTTAAATTTAAAATCAAAATATTTCTTTTAAACCATCATAGCTTTTGGACCAATCTATTTATAAATGATTAATCAAGGAAACTAGTAAAAGCGTTTAAAATATTCTTAATGAACAAATACTATCACTATTTGCTAAACCCATGTAAAAACGGGGATATTAACAACTCGTTAATGTTATAGATCTTTATTATCTTCTCCACATAAGAAAGTTATTGCAGTGGCCGTTGAATGGCTGCTTACCTATCTCTTGATAACTATATAATTTTTAGGAATGCAAGGACTTCAGATTTGTATTGTTAAGCTGATTGTTGATAAATATATTTCATGAGCTTGGCTCTTTACCAACGAGTCCTGTGCCTCTACCAGTCTTATGCCTCATTTGACGTTATTAAGATTCATTATTCTAGGAGAGGAGAAATAAAATCATTTAAACCCTGGGAATGCAATGCAGGGATATGAAATGATCTTAGCGTTTAGTGAAAGGTAATATTATTTAATTGTTTCACATTATTATTAAGGCCTGGGTCGCCATAACCGGTTGCCACCACTAGTTAATGATACGATATCTGCGTATATACGTAAATAATTGTCATAATACAATTATTTATAGCTTTGCATATTTTATTACATCATGTGCTAATGTTAAAAGAGCATTTGGTCAGATACTTAATCGAATACTTCGCAAAGACACAATATACTAATTATCAATGCTGTGGGTTGCTCATAAAAAATGTAAGCCTTCGATGTTCAATGTGTTTACTTTATGCTATCATCCTAAGCAAATAGTAACGTCAACTTTGCTTTGGTATTAATAATCCAAGTTAAGCTAAAATTAACCATATTTGACTCGGATCTCGTCCATCTACAAGTTACCCTAAAATTTAGGCGAAGGCATGAAGAACAAGACAGTGTGGCTTTTTGTGTGGTCTCAGTCTCCTTTCGTTATATAGAAGTAGTTTGACCATGTTTTTGCAACTTGGTCATACTGGTAGGAACACTTAGAGGAACGCACCTAGTCAGGAATCCATTGTATGTATGACAATTTCCAGAGTCGGACCGTGAAAGTGCCACATTCCCAGATATTTAAGATTTAAGAGCTGTTTATTGCATTATGCGGTAAGCAGTCGTTGATTCATGTGTCCTTTTCGAAATCAGTATCTTAGTGTAACTGAATGTATAATTATCATTTGTTGTGGAAACTTTTAATTCGTATGAAAGTGCAAGAGGAAGAGATTAGTAGCTTGATCTCACAGCAAGAATGAGAGTAATCTCTCCTTCAATCACTGGAATATGAAATAAAGTTCTCCATAGCACCGTTATCCCAAAATATTTATCTAATATCACTTCTTATTACTCTATGCACTGTCCGTATGATTAAAAGTCTCCTAGCATTATAAAACAGAGAAAGCTACTTACAGACAAACCGATAG